CACACCTGTAATCCCAGCAGTTTAGGAGGCGGAGGTAGGAGGATCCCTTGAAGCCAGGAATTTGAGGCCATCCTGGACAACAAAGCAAGGCCCCATCTCTACAAAAAAATTCAAAAATCAGCCTGGTACAGAAGCATATGCCTGCAGTATCAGCTACCAGGGAAGCTGAGACAGAAGGATCGCCTGAGCCGGGAGTTTCAAGGCTTCAGTGAGCCACTGCATTACTGTACTCCAGCCTGGGTGACAGAGTGAGACCATCTCAAAAAAACAAACAAACAAACAGAAAATAACTTATGGTCTGTAAAATTGTATTTATGAAGAATTGGTTCTTTTTTGCTTTTGTTTTTGTGACAAAGTCTTGCTCTGTTGCCCAGACTGGAATACAATGGTATGATCTCAGTTCACTGTAGCCTCCACCTCCCCGGTTCAAGTGATCCTCCTGCCTCAGCCTCCTGAGTAGCTGGGATTACAGGAACGTGCCACCATACAGGCTAATTTTTGTATTTTTTTTTTAGTAGAGACAGGGTTTTATCATGTTGGCCACGGTGGTCTCAAACTCCTGACCTCAAGTGATCTACCTGCCTCAGCCTCCCAAAGTGCTGGGATTACAGATGTGAGCCACAGCACCCAGCTTATGATAAGTCTAATGATCTCACAAACTATGAGAGTATTTGTGAATAAAAGCAGACTCATGGTAGACACATTTAGGAGACTGCTGCATACCATGCTTTGGTAGTGTCCCTCTTATTGCAGGGTGAGCCTAAGTGACTGCTACTGCTATTGAAACCTTGTCTCCTGACCACAGGTGAACAAAATGGGACACATGTCCCTGGCTGAGCCAATCAGATACTCCAGTATTAAGCTTCAGCCCCATTACAGAAAAAGAGTTTGGCTAAAATCAGTACCATGGAAACCCAAAGTCAAGCAGAGTAATGAGGGATCAGAAACTGAGGCCACTGCACACAAACCAGTCTCGGCATGGAGAATGGAACAGACATGCAAAGAGCAAAGACAAAAAAAACAAACAAAAAAAACAGCTCCAGAGACAAGGGCAAATGCAAAAGCCTGGGGCTTTCCAAATCCCACAGGTTCATCCCCGCTTCCCACACGCTTGGATTCCAAAAGACTGCCTGGAATCCCTATAATCTACATCCCTTTACTTAAGTTTATTTGAGGTTTCTGTTCCTATCAAATTAATCCTTGACAGCTACAAAATTATATAAAGAAAAAAAGCATCAACAAAAATGCCAAATATTAACAGCAGCTGCCTCTTAGTAGAATTAAGAGTGATATTTTCTAGTGTTTATAATTTCTTTACTTGCCAAGTTTGCAACAATGAGTATGTTATTCACTCAGAAAAAAAAATACTTGAATAAATAAGGTAATTCTATATTTAGATAATTAAGGCTTTACTAAATAATAGGTAATTTCAAAGCTAAAAGTGAGATAGAGTATATAAAACCCAGGAGGTTTCAAACTTTGTTCCAGAGGACACTGATTCTGTGGTAATGCCTCCAGAGCCACTTCAGGGGAAAAGCAGCTCAGCACGTATCCGCTGTAGTTAACATCTTGTTCAGTTTCTTCCTAGCTCAAAGACCTCCTTACCATCCCCTTCACCTAGGACAGGGCCATAAAAGACATTTTATGCACGGTGAACCACTTCCGCTTCTACTCAGGTCTTTAGCCAATTGTATCACAGTGGGAACCTGCCCCAAACCAGGCCAGATTATATTCCTCTGGCATTTGGAAGAGAGTTAAAGATTCACTCTTGGGTCGAGCGCAGTGGCTCACGCCTGTAATCCCAGCACTTTGGGAGGCCAAGGCGGGTGGATCACGAGGTCCAGAGATCGAGACCATCCTGGTCAACATGGTGAAACTCCGTCTCTACTAAAAATACAAAAAATCAGCTGGGCATGGTGGCACGTGCCTGTAATCCCAGCTACTCAGGAGGCTGAGGCAGGAGAATTGCCTGAACCCAGGAGGCGGAGGCTGCAGTGAGCCGAGATCGCGCCATTGCACTCCAGCCTGGGTAACAAGAGCGAAACTCTGTCTCAAAAAAAAAAAAAAAGATTCACTCTTTTTTCACTAAAGTGGCTAAAAACATTAACTTCTACCTTAAAGATCAGAGAAGAAGGGCTGGGCATGGTGGCTCATGCCTATAATCCCAGTACTTTGGGAGGCAGAGGCAGCAGGTTAGTTTGAGGCCAGAAGTTTGAGACCAACCTGGGCAAGATAGCAAGACTCCATCTCCACCTAAAAATTAAAAAATAGCTGGGTGTGGTGGTGCATGTCTGTAGTCCTAGATACTCAGGAGGATCCCTCCAGCTTAGCAGTTCAAGGCTATAGTGAGCTATGATCATGCCACTGCACTCCAGTCTAAGCCAGGCCATGTCTCTAAGGAAAAAAAAAATCAGAGAAGGGGAAGAAGCCAGTTTGCAGGGAGCATGAAATATAAACAAGACTCCTCCACACACACACACAGAAAAAGCAAAAACAAGAGGTTTCCCTGGTTCTGAACGCTAGCCATTTTCTGAAGCCCAACTAAGTTTATGTCTTAAACAGCTGGAAACAGGTCTGAGGTAGCTTAAATTAGTTTCTCTGTTGTAGACAAACAAAGATACACACATAAGCCCCATTTCAACAAGATTAGTCATTAAGGTTCCAGATTAGATTTATGTTTACACAGGGAACAAAGTTCCCCTACTAAAAAAAGGTATTGATTCTAGTATCTCAATTCATTTTACAATTGAGAAAACTGAGGGTGAACTTCATAAAGCAAAAGTCAGGGGTTCTCTTCACTGAAAAAGGAGCCAGGCATGGTGGCTCATGCCTGTAATCCCAGCACTTTGGGAGGCTGAGGCAGGTAAATCACCTGAGGTCAGGAGTTCAAGACCAGCCTGGGCAACATGGTGAAACTCCGTCTCTCCAAAAATATAAAAATTAGCCAGGCACGATGGCAGGTTGCTGTAATCCCAGCTACTGAGAAGGCTGAGGCGCAAGAGTTGCTTGAACCTGAGGGGCAGAGGTTGCAGTAAAGATCATGCCATTGCCCTCCAGCCTGGGCGGCAGGGTGACACTCCATCTCAAAAAAAAGAAAAGATATGATGTGATCTGTTTTCAGGAAGAAAAAAAAAACATCAAAAGAGAAAAAAAAAAAAGGAAATTTCTAGAAAATCAATGCTTCTCAAATGTAGTCTTAAATACATCTTGCTGTGTCCCAGGAACTGTTCCAAATGCTTTATAAACATTAAATTACCTAATCCTCACAACAATGTCATGATATACATACTGTTATCCTGTTATAAAAAGGAAGAATGTGAGGCTCAAACAAGCTAAGTAACTTGCCCAAGGTCACATGGATTCAAACCTAGGCAGCCCAGCTTTAGAGTCTGGGTTTTGTTTGGGTTTTTTGGGGGACAGTGTCTCACTTTGTCACCCAGGCTGGAGTGCAGTGTCACGAATATGGCTCACAGCAGCCTCAACCTTCCTTTTTTAGGGATGTTCCCCTACCCTCATCCTACACATTCTAAAATCAGTGATTCTTAAAGTAGGGACAATGGAACAGAAGGTCCATGGATAAACTCAGTCTATGGAAACACATACATGATTTTGTATCACGAAGCCTCTTCCTAGTGGAAAGTTCACAATGTTCATATTTTTAAAAGACCCGGAAAGCAGAAAAGTTAAGAACTTCTGACCTAAAAAAAACTCTATACAGTGGCATACACCTTGGAAAATAAAACTCAAAATAAGTCCTTTAATAATTCACATTTTTGCAGTACCTCAACTTTATTAAGTATTCTGCTTATTTGGTCAAAAGACATATACTCATGTTATAAAGAATGTCCCAAATGATGAGAATCCAAAAAGATCTCCTTTAGCAATTTAAAAACACAATAAACTACAACCACCCATTCTTATGCTTTCTGGTTAAATTGTATCTTGTTGTACATATAACTTCAGGTTAACATGGCAAGATGAATAATAAATGGCTTATAAATCTTATTCAAAATCTTTGGGAGCTGTTTTTCTTACATTAATAAGATAAACAATTGCTCACATATTCACTCATTCTATCAAAAGTATGTACAGAATGCCACTAGGAATTCTAAAATACAATACAAAAGCAGTAGTTTTGCATTAACCCGCCCCCTAGCCAATTTTCTTAGTCAACCAGGCCACTACAGTCAGAACGAGATCAAAATTTGTCACCAATACCAAAAAAACAAAAACAAAACAAAAATGTCCAAACAAATGCCCCTCTGATAACCTTTTCCTAGGACACATGAAGACAAGCAATTCCTTATGCTAAAAGGACCTTAAAACAACCTCAAGAGTGGATGTTTCTAAAGCCTTTCGATAAGGGGCCATACTTAAGGATGGAAAAATTGACTGATTCACAAGCAGACGATTTTCCCTGTATTCATCTTGATATTAGTTTCACCCCACTGTTCCAGAGGCAACATAAAAAAAATAACAGAAATAAGGCACAAAAGGAGGAAGGGAGAAAATGCATGCTTAGATAAGCATTTTGGCTCAGGCTGAGGGGAATGCTCTAAGAGTTACTGCAAACGACCAAAACAATGTGAGCCTTTAAAGTTGGTTGTGCAAGTCTGGCTCTTAGAGTTCCTCATCTGTTATAGGCATTGTTCCCTTCTTGAAAAAGTACCAAACATCCTGCCTGCAGGCTTCTCCGGGTGGATGCTACTAACCCTTTTAGTTATTCCTGTCACTCTGGATTGAACAGAAAGAAAAAGATGAACATCAACAAGTATTTAGGAGGGGCCTAGAGAGAACTTTTCACCCCTAGCCGCAGCCCAAGATCCTCCCACGGGAAGTGCCCTAGGACCGCAGCCCCGCCGAGCGCCGGCGGGGAGACTGGCCACGCCCGGATGCGCGGCTGATGGGGTCCAGGCCTGCCAGCCGGCCGGCCAAGGGCTTTGCTGTAGCCGCCCCGGCGCGAGGGCGGAGCGCGGAGACAGGGCTGGGCCGGGCCTCACCTCCACGGCCTGGCCCAGCTCCAAGTCGAAGCCCACCACACAAACGCAGTGCAGCCAGGCGGAGAAACCGTCCCAGCGCAGCAGGCCCCGGCCACGGCCATCATCCTCTTCCTCGTCCTCTGGTGCGCCTCCCGCTGCCAGAAGGGCCGGCGCCTCGCGCCCCTCGGCAGCCGCCACTGCCTCGTCCAACGGCCTTCGACAGCCGGGCCCCAAGCCCGCGGGGCCCCTCAAAGCCATTCGCCGCCCCCTGGCTGTTCGCGCCGCCTCAACCGCGGACCGCGCCGTAGAGCGCGCTTAGTTCCGCGCAGGCGCAGATACCGCTGCTGCAGCCTCCGGGGATCCATTCGGTCCGGGCGGGGCTGCGGATCACGTGACTCTGGGAGCGCCGCTCTGCGCAGATCCTTCTGGGCCAGGACCGGACGTGGGGACGTCACGCTGCCGCTTGTCTCGGATTGTGAAGCCAGCCCTGGCCTCCTTCTGTGAAAGCTCTTTGGTTTATGAATCCCTATCAACCTCGTTCGCAGTCAACGACCAGGGAATAAATTATTCGTGGAATGACACCCTTCATAATTATTATAATCAGGTATTACTCAATTATGAAAGTGTAATGGTAACAGTGGATAACATTGAACGCCTACTTTGTGCCAGTTGATGTTCCAAGTACAAGTGCGAATATTTACAAATATTACCTTATTGAATCTTCACATAATTGCAAATAAGTAGACAGCATTTCTTTTTACAGATAAGGAAATGAAGGCTCTGGAGGTTACATGACCAGCTCAACAAGTGTGACAACTCCAATGTTGGCTTGCAGTGCACTCATTCAGTTTGCTGATTCAGAGACCTGTGCGTTTACTCAGCTGTTCCTTCTCCAGCAAGGGCACCCCACCCTGCCACCTCCACCTTCCTTGGCCTGGCTGTCTGTGACTCACTCAACACACATCCCCAGACCTTTCTGGGACCCCAAGTTGGGCAGATTGGCCTCCACAGCAACCTGTGGATCTCTCTGAGCACTGGGGCAAGGGCCTGGTCTCAAGCAGCGTCGTATTCTGAGATCAATTGTTACTGATCATTGGACCAACCAGGATACTAACTAGTATTTATTCACCACCTACTATGTTGAGTGTAAATAGCATAGTAAAAGTAGGAAACACAATAATACCTCAACAGAAAAATGAGTAAACCAGCAAAGTGTCACGCCTATGATCCCGGCTACTTGGGAAGCTGAGGTCGGCTAAGGCCAGGGATGATCACTTGAGCAGGAGTTCCAGGCTGCAGTGCGGTATGATCACGCCTGTGAACAGCCATTACACTCCAGCCTGGACAACATAGCATGACTGCATCTCAAAAAAAAAACAACGCAAAACAAAAAACACAGCAGAACTTAAGCATTTTGCTGTACTGCCAAGTCAATTCCATTACATTTGACAAGTAACTGCCCTCTTCACATTCTTAGAATTTTTTTGGAACAAGTGTTAGCATCCCTGTTTTCAAGGAGGTGGTCAAGTATGCACAGACATCAGTAGTGATGTTTGCTGTAGACTTCCTGTAGACAAAAAGGAACTTAGGGACAGCACTTAAGTTAGAGGCCAAGTCTTTAGCCAATGTAGCCTGCCGTCCTACTCCAGAGACCTGCTGTGCTTAAAAAAGGAAAAACTGTATTTTGCGATCAAGTAAGGCTCTAAACTCAGTATTAGGAAAGAACAGTAGCGTTTTTTGTATCAGAAGGAACACTGGCCTGAAAGTCAGAAGTTCTAGATTCAAGTGCCAGCTCCACCCACAATTATGGTAGGCAAGCCACTCCAAAACCCAGTTTCTGGTAAATGGGAATGGTGACTACTAACTCACTTCCCTGACTGTTGGGAAAAGCTACACTATCCTAATGCACACATTTTACCAGATGCTACTTTATTTTTAATGATTAATGATCTCAAAACACGAGTTGCGGCCAGGCACAGTGGCTCACACCTATAATCCCAGCACACTGGGAGGCCGAGTTGGTAGGAACACTTGAGCCCAGGAGTTTGAGACCAGCCTGGGCAACATAGGGAGGCCCCATCTCTTAAAAATTTAAAAATTAGCCAGGCATGGTGGCGCACACCTGTAGTTCCAGGCTGAGGTGGGAGGATCACTGGAGCCTCAAGGCTGCGGTGAGCCATGATTGTGCCATCGTACTCCAGCCTGGGCAACACAGCAAAACCCTGTCTCAAAAACAAAAACCAAAAAGAAAGACCACTACTTGTTCCACAGGGCTGGTTTTTTGATATATAGACACAAACTACAGTTCTCTGAAATGCTGCTTTATAATACTGGATTAAGGATAATCTTGTCAAAATATAGTACCCTGAAAACAACATATTAGGAGGACCAGAGTTTTCAGAGAAAGAAAGCACACCAAAGCTGTAGAGAATTTTAAAAGTAAGAAACCTGTTTGGGGAGAAAAACAGAAAACAACACACTACTACTTAAATCTGTATACACCGAATAACCACCAGGGAAAACAAAGTAGCTATGGCTTTATTTCCCTCTACCTTCATAACTTTGACATTCTGCCTTACAGTATTTTCACACAGTTTCTGTTGTTCATGGGAGCAAAGGAACAAGATACACCTTCTGACGGTTCATCATCAGGACCTTTGACTCTGAAAGGATCTTGGATAGGATCATCTCTTCCAACTTCCTATGCTATTCATAAATCTTCTGACATTCAGTTAGCCAGCCTCTTTTCTAACACTCTCTATTAAAGTTAAGTCATTAGCCTGTAATCCCAGCACTTGGGGAGGCAGAGACAGGTGGATCACCCACCTGAGGTCTAGGAGTTCCAGACCAGCCTTGCCAACACGGTGAAATCCTATCTCTACTAAAAATACAAAAATTAGCCAGGTGTGGTGGCACACACCTGTAATCCCAGCTCCTAGGAAGGCTGAGGTGGGAGGATCCCTTAAACCGGGGAGGTAGAGGTGACAGTGAGCTGAGATCATACCACTGCACTCCAGCCTGGGCGACAGAGGGAGACTCTGTCTCAAAAAATTAATTAATTAATTAAATAGGCCAGGTGCGATGGCTCACGCCTGTAATCCCTGCACTTTGGGATGCAGAGGTGGGGGGATCACTTGAGGTAAGCAGTTGGAGACCAACCTGGTCAACATGGTGAGACCCTGTCTCTACTAAAAATACAAAAAATTGACTGGAGTAGGCGCTTCTGGCCATTCATACTGCTGTCGATCAGTATTAGGTTACTGGATTTTGTGGGCTATCAGAACCAACGGGTGACGGCGCTGCTAGGATGAAGCTTGTGAGATTTTTGATGACATTGAGTCATGAAACTGTAACCATTGAATTGAAGAATGGAACACAGGTCCATGGAACAATTACAGGTGTGGATGTCAGCATGAATACACATCTTAAAGCTGTGAAAATGACCCTGAAGAACAGAGAACCTGTACAGCTGGAAACGCTGAGTATTCGAGGAAATAACATTCGATACTTTATTCTACCAGACAGTTTACCTCTGGATACACTACTTGTGGATGTTGAACCTAAGGTGAAATCTAAGAAAAGGGAAGCAGTTGCAGGAAGAGGCAGAGGCAGAGGCAGAGGAAGAGGACGTGGCCGTGGCAGAGGAAGAGGGGGTCCAAGGCGATAATGTCTCTCATGATTACTGTTTCAAAGTCATATGGGATCTGGGATATTTTTTGTACAGGTTGTGTTTGTTTATGTCAGTTTTTAATAAACATAAATGTGGGACAGAGCTGTCTATTGAGTATATCAGAGTTTTAGTAGTTTCCTCCACATTCACAAGAATACCACAGTG